GTACCGTACGTCTTTATTAACTTTACTTTATTATATATATATATATATATATATATATATATATCTAAAGATAGAGAGAGTTGTGAAGTGTGGATTTATTTATTTTGTAGTCTATTTTTTTAAAAAAATTACTTTTGTGGGGCAATTTTGTAAATATTACTATAAGACAAATGATATTTTTATCATCTCCAGGAGGAGTAAAATTGAAATTTTAACTAAAAGATAAGGGCATGCTACAAATAAAGTTCCAACACTAACTTCCAAAATGCCATTGTATTTTTGTGAAATTTTCAAGTTTGCTCTTGTTTTATGATAAAGTTACCTATTTAAATAATTTTTTAATAAAAAAATAATCATTGTTATGATAAATACACCCATCATAACCCTTTTTAACTTGAACATTTGTATTTTGAGGGGGTGTTAACTCTAAACAAACCTATATATATTTTTATTAGGTGTGCCTTGATGAGAAGAATACATACGTAAAATTTCAAGTGATTTAGATTCGTAAAAAAAATAAATAAAATTATAACATTATCGGACATCTGTGATCTTCAAATCGACTCAGATTCAATCTGAACGGTTGAACTCATACATTCATATAAACTAGTGGACTAACCCAATTTTTTCTTCAATATATATTTATATATATATGTGCGCATGCGCACGCGTATAAATTTAATCAAGTGATAGTGTTAACCATTGAGAAATCCTCTCGAGAATCATGTAAACTTTTGACCATTGATCAAGAGAGAGACCTACCACCAGTGTCTTGTCAATTTTTGACCATTTATTTTTTATGGTCCCATGGATCACAGTTTACTTCCCTATAACTTTTAACGCCCATTAGTTTTCTTGTTGATTTCATAACGAAAAGGTCGAAGCCACCAAACAGTCCTTAGTTTTCAGAATGAGTAGAATCATAAAATTGGTCTAAATTGTAAAAGGAGAAAGAAAATTTGGAAAAAAAAAAGAGCCTTTTATTATAAAGATGAGCACTAGACCCTTCTTTTGCCAGAGCTTAAATGATGAATTCATGGGGCCAATAAAGGCCTCAACATGGAGTCAAGGTCTTTTTAATTCAATAAAAAAATGAAAGGGGCAAGGTTTTTCAAGGAACAAGTTGTTGAGTTTCAAGCCCTTGACCTTCCTCACACAATGTCTTACCATTGCAGAAATATTTCAATATTCTTGGTTTCCCCATTCTCTAAAAAGTAACAACACATGGAATGCACCAATATTTTTGGTTTCCCCATTCTTTAAAAAGTAAAACCAAATTTGACCCTCACATGAAACATCCAGAAAAATACAAAAAGTTAGGCTTGCATATTTAGGCTTTACAATAAAGCTTTAAGGGCTCGTTTGTCTCTATGTTATTATGGAAAACAAAGACGTTTGCCATTGTTTTTAGCCACAAAACCACATTTTGGATAAACCACAAAACGAAACAAAACGTGGGACCCCCAAATCAAGAAAAAACACATATTCAAACAAAACACTGATTTTACTTTTAACCACGCGCTCGTTGCTCGCGTCAAAACCCATTTGATAATATCTTTTTACAATGTGAACATTTTTTCTTTATGTATTTGTCGCATACCAAATGTGTGTAGCATAATTTTCACATGAAAATATTGTGTACGAAAATATTTTTATACCTACCAAACGTGTCCATAATAGTGTAAACCCACATTATACAAATAAATGATCCAAACATGGGATTTACATAACCCGAGCATTATCTACAAGCTATCCAAACAGTCATTTTTCAATAACGGGGCATAACCAAGATTTACATAACCTGATCCAAACCATGGTTTCCTACCTTAGGGTCCGAACGAGCCCTAAGAGATTTGGATCCTTGATATCCCTCACCAAAACGATCATTGGACTAGGCAGTGTTATGAGAGACTAATTTATGAACTGCCATAGAGAAGGCATAAGGGCACATATGTATTGTTAGGATAACTTAGACTACTGGTTAAGTCCCAATCTTGGTTAGAAACAAATTGAGGACACCGACGTAAATAAAAACTTAAAAATTTAGAATTGTTGTCAAGAATCGAGATTAGACTCGGTAACGTTTCGATTCTGATTCCCAAAATCCAACCCAAATGACTCTAGTGGGTCAAATCAATTCCTTCTTAGGCCAGGTGATAATTCCATCTCTAATAATTTGCTTTTTGGTTCTGATTCCAAGTCGGATCATCAATTTTTGAATTATGCCCCCAACTCGATTAATTAGGATCGGGCACATAAGGGTTTAGTCTAAAGCTAACATCTTATCAAGTGAGAGGCATATTCACTCAGGAATATTCATTTATTATCATTATTATTATTTTTCGAATGTAAAGATTTTTTTATTTTTATATTTTTTTTAACTCAAGACTTTGGCCACTTGGGGCCGTTCTGATATTTCTGCATAATCAATAGGCAATTTGTAATATTCTCTTTCAATATTAAGGCACGCATGCAATAAGGACAATTTAGTTGAGATTACTTTCGAATATATTAGCGAAGCCTATGGTACTTATGTCATTATTATAATAACAAATCGGAGTACTTTCGATATTTAAGCTAGAACACGGGGCAATCTCCTAGTTTCAATGCGATCTAGGGGTAATGTGGTCACTCGAAAGAAAAAGTGGGGTAGTTTAGATATTTAAGAGGGAACCAGGGCCAACGTTTACAGACAGGCGTCGACAGAGTCACATTGAGGGTATCCTCGATATTTCAAGAAACAGATCAGGGTATTTATATGAGTATCTCTCTAACGTAAAACGCTCCTACCTTTAGGGCTGGGCATTTAACCATCATCTATTCAGACAAGCGTTCTCACATCCAAATCCCTCTCTCTCTCTATAAATCTGTCTCCCGTTCTCTCTCTAACTTGGGATCCGTCGGACTCGTTCGCCGGAAAACAAGCAGAGGACTAAGTTCCGGCGATTCTGGGGCTCGAGATCCTTATTTTGGCCTGAAATTTCGTCGGAAAGAATAAAGCTTCCATAAATGCGATATTGAAATCAAGTAATGACAACTTCGGAGAAAAGTGGCTCTGTCTGGAGCCTGTTGCCATGGCGCGTAGGGTTTCGAATGATTCTAGGGTTTTGGATGGTGCTTTTTTGTGTGGCCATTGAGGAAGCGAGTGCAGAGGAGGTGAAGTACAGGAATGCTTATGCTTCGATGATGTATATGGGGACGCCAAGAGACTATGAGTTCTATGTGGCGCTTAGGGTTATGCTGAGGTCTCTGAAACAGCTCGAAGTGGAGGCGGATCTCGTGGTTATAGCGTCTAAAGATGTTCCTTTTCGATGGATCGATGACATGTAAGTGCCTGAACTTTGTGTTTTTTGTCTCTACTCTCGATTCTCTCTCTCGAAATTTGATGTGTTTGTTTTAGGGGTGAAAAGCTAATTTCTTTGCACGTATCTCTCTCTCTATGTTGCGTGAGCGGGTGAGTTCCACCTGTGTATGTACCGTGAGTGCGTGTGCTTTTTTGCAGTAGAGAGAGAAAGAGGGATTCCTGTGACTGCTTTTCCTGAAAGGTCGAAACTCGAAACGAGTCTCTGCACCCTCTCGCCCTTTCTGATTATTTGGATCGAAGCCGAAAGTCGCTTTTACGCGTGCCCCCTTTTCTTTTTTCTCTCTCTCTAGAAATCCGCACTTCCATTTCTCTCTCTGGAAACTGGAAAGGCTGGACCTGGTCTTTTTTTTTTTTGGCACTCTCTCTCTCTAAATTTCGTGTTTCCATTATTATTTGTAACAACATTGTTTTAAAATTTCATAGTTGGGTAGAATTTAGGAAGAGAGAAGCTGCGTTGACCACATGAGGAAAATACTAAAATGCCCTCATAATGAGGATTTCCGTTTCCAATGTCTTTTTTCTCTATTTGCCATGAGAAATTTCTTTTTAATTGTTTTTCTTCTTTGTCCTTGCATGTGTGATGATTACCGAAGTACCCTTAAGCTTTTCTTGGAATCGTCACACAGATACATTCGGTTGGGAGCTTGCTGAATATCTGTATTTGAAGTAGGATTTGTTCTAGATTAGAATGGACATTTTAATTTGCTTCTATTTTTTCTTTAAATCCAGGAAATATTGAACATTATGATATTCGTATACATGAGTAAATATGCAAACATATTGGATTGTTCCATTGTCTTTTGCTTATGTATCAATAAATGTACGCATATACTGTTGTATTCAAATTGCAAAATACTGATAATTGAGATAGAATTGTATTTATTTTGCACATATAAATTCATTCTAGAGTAGATATTATACATGGAAATGATTATATAGGTAGATGGCCCTTAATGATTCTAGTTGTTTGTTTTGCAGAGCCATTTAATACTTGTGATGAAACAGCTCCATCCATTTGACAGTCGCATTCACACTGTTGACATGTCGAATTTGGAAGGAGAACGACCCATTTTATTCTTTTTATTATGGGATATCATCTCACTAGATCAGGGTCCTACATCACATAAAATAAACAAATGAGAATTTCATACTTTTCATAAGAAAAATATGGATCAACTAAAACTTTCCGTGGGAAAATTGCGAAATGGAATAAATTACAAATTTTGACGCAAATATTTGAATATATGTACATTAGGATAGCAAATATTTTTAAAAATGCTATGATTTTCCACTGCAGGGCTAAAAATGGATGATTTTCCACTGCAGGGTGCCCGAGGATCTGGGCGCCCACCTAGGCACTGGGCGTTGGGCTCCAGGCTGGCCGCCTAGCGTTTTTTGACACCTTGTTGATATGGGCCCCACCCAATTTGTGTACCTTGTCCATCACCATGTGCAATTGGTCCAATCCATGTAACAAACTGTGATTGTGTCTGGTCAGTCATTTCCTGGGAACCATGGTGTGTCTGATTACTTGAGGGGGTTTAGAAGTCAAGCTAGACTCATGGTCCCCAGTAAAATAAAGTCAACTTGCAACTTAGTGAACTTCTTCCTTGCATCATTTTTTGGCTTAAAATGTTCAGAAAATATGGAAATACTTATTTGCTAAACAGTTTATATGTGCTTGTTATGAATTAATATGTTGTTAATAAACAGTCGATAACACAAGTCAACATTTCTCAAAAAAAGACAAGAAAAAAAAAGTATATGGTTTCAAACTGTGTCATTACAACTGTTGTGGTGACCTTCGTTATCTCATATTATTTTCTGTGTCCATTACGGTGCTACCTCAGCGTGTAATAGCCTTCGTTTTCTCATGTCAGTTTCTCTAATTAATGGCATAAAAAGATATAGAGCCTTCTTTCAAAATGATAGCTTTTTCTAATAAATAGCAGTTTTTAACAATTAAAATGTATGTTTCATAATAATTTCATAATTGTTGTCGATAAAAGACTCTTTTTGCCTTTTTGATTTTCTCTTTTTTTCCTCACCCCCTCCCTCCTCTTCATTTGTCTTCTTGTGTTCTTCCTTTATTCTCTGTTTTAATGATTGGTAGTGTTATGTAGCACTACCTCATGTCATCGCATTTTTCAAATCTTGGTATATACTTTCGGTTATTATATATTAACATTGAATTGCTACCATCTAAGTAAGTTATCTATCAAAAAACTATTACTAAAGTAACTTGGCGTAATATTTGTAATACATTACTTATGACATTAGTTGTTTAATTTTCTTCTATTACTGAGCACATGAATACTAAGTATTGTATTGGTAGATTAAATCCTACTATGATCCGGTGGAGAGTTGCCGTCTCAAAATGAAAAGAAGCCCACAAATGAAGCTACTTGAAGTCTTGAAACAATCTATGCTTGAACATTGCATTGGTAAAAGAAACTGTAGTTCAATGCTCTCAAAAACTCTCTCAAATATCCTCATGGACCATATCAAATAAATATTCTTAGGAGTTTGGATTTCTGCACAAGCCTCAGAGAGGGGGAATTACGAGTGTTTCATAGAACTTTAACGCATCTCAATGTGATTCCGGGGGCCTAAAAATTCACCTGTTTTGAGCTTTGTGTGAGTTGATGTCTCCCTAAAATAATCAGAAGTGAAAATCATGCAACATTTCATCCAAACTAGCAGCCAACTGGCTTTTGTGAGTTGGTTACATTGGGAACGTTGCCATGCCGAGCGAAACTTCTAGATGGTATTACTGTCTAGTTATAGGGTGTTCTGCTGTAGGACCCACCAACCATCTTTTATTAGTCCTTTAGGCAAACCTGATCAATCCCACTGAAACCTGAGACTCACCCATGCAGCCACCTCCTTGGTTATAAGGTGTTATGAGGTGGGATCCACCTTCTTTTAATCGGTTTGCTCCTTCAACTTGTCATGAGCTTACATCAGCTTATCCTTACCACACTCAATTGCACCATCATCACAACTGTTGCATCATCATATCCATGTGCTCACTTTTAGTTGTTTTCCTTTCTGTTGAACTCGTACCAAATTATTTTCTTCTCATGCAAGATCATAATTCTTTTTCCCAAATGTTGCTTTGGTTGTCATGAAGGAGCTGTTCATTCTTGCTAGCCAAAACCCTCTAAGGTATCCATCTAAAAAGCAGAATCAAAATTTATTGCATTTTAGGTCTCCTAGAGCCTCTTGAATTGTTCTGAGCTTACACTTGGGTTCTAACGCAATGCAAATGAACTTCAGTCTTAGTCATGGATTTCTGTTCTAGTTTACGTCAGCTTTTAAAAGCAGAATACATTTTTATCGGAAACCTTAACTGACATGCTTTAAAATGGTTCCTTTTCAATTCCAACATTTTTTAATCTTTTCAACTCCAACCATTTTTAATCTTTTCAACTCCAACCATTTTTAACTATGTCGTTTTTGATAAGAAAGAGTATTTGGCAATGAATGGTCCTTGAATTTTCAGGAGAGTAGAAGATGGAGCAAAGGTGGTAGTTGTTGAAAATGTTGATAATCCATACAAGTACCAGGCCAACTTCAATCGCCGGTTCATGCTGACCTTGAATAAGTTGTACGCTTGGAGCCTTATTGATTATGACCGTGTTGTCATGTTGGATTCTGACAATCTATTTCTCCAAAAGACCGATGAGCTTTTCCAGTGTGGTCAATTTTGTGCAGTTTTCATCAACCCATGCATCTTCCACACAGGTCTCTTCGTATTACAGGTTTGTGCATTCCTCTTGCATTGAAGAAGTTGAAATGTGTTTTATTACAGCTGTTTGGACTTATACCGAGATAATACTGAGATAACTGCAAGACCAACTTACCAAATGAAGTCCCCTTTTTGGGGCAAACAAACCCACCGTTTTTAGTGCCATAAACTTTGTGAAGAAAAATTATTTGCCATATCATCACGATAAGCAATCAAAACTTCGTTTTACTTTCTAGCATCGTCACATCTCTTTAAGTTTCTTGTCATATTTTGTACTGTTTATTATTATTGTTTTTTTTTTTTAATATAATGTTCACAATTGTATTGATGAAGAAAATAGATTCAGAGTATAGCATGTGTATATGAACATGTATACAAACTCAGGCATGCCTGCTTAGCAGGTGCCCCTTACAGACCCCAAAAAGGGGGAAGAGAGAAAAAACAAAAACAGCTCTATAGTGACACAATTAACAGGGAGAAAAAAGACTGCTAAGTGGCCAAAGGATTGAGGCTAGCACCATCCATTGCTAAGGTGTCAGCAGCAGCATTAGCTTCCCTAAAAACATGCCTCCAGGAAATTCTGATGGATCCAGTAATAAAACAAATTTCATCGAAAATTGGCTCACGTCTCCACAGACAAGGAGCGAACCCTGAAGCCCAGGTGATAACGTTACTAGAGTCTCCTTTAGCCACTAATTCCTGGTTCCAGTTGAAGGCCTTCGAGCAAAGCCTGAGCCTCTGCAAAGTGGAATCCGATGAGCCGATAGGTGAGGAGAAAAAGAGAATAGTGGATCCTGCAGAATTTCTGTAGGGGCCACCAATGCCAGAGGGCCCTGGGTTATTATTGTTCTCTTACGATTATAAAGTGCGTTACTATGTTGTAAGCTGTTGGTTTAATCTACATATATGAGTTTCTTGTTGTAAATGCATCTCGTCTTTACTGGAGGTTGGGAACCTTTGCTAAGTGCTACTAGTAAGAGTCAGGGTGTAGCATCTTTGGTTCCCATTTACTTTTTCTTCATAAGTTTGAGTTTGTTCCTCGTATCCATCTCTAGTGAGAACAATAACTTTTTTGATCTTTCCATGGTAAAACTTGACGAATGGAGAAAAGGTCGTGTATAGTGAACTACCAGAAGAGCAAATTGTACACTTGCTACCCTAGGCAAAACACCCTCTAAGGAGGATTTGTTTGATTCAAAATTTTGGGAATCACTTTAATATCGACAGATGATAATTAAAAAAAAAAAAAAAGATTTTGAGTTCTAAACACCTAGATCTGACTGTCAAAAAAATACTGTGAGACTGTCCAAACTTTGTGGTCTAGAAAATTGTCCTAGCTATGTTTTTTCCCAAGATGTTGTGTACATTTTGCTCCTGCAGGAGCATGTAATCCTTTCACAGGAAAAGAAAAAGGAAAAGCTTTTCACTTTGTAAAACCAGACATTGAAATATTTTCTGAAATAACAAAATACACTTCCATTTTTTTTATACAGTTGTTATACCCTATATCAAGTAACTCGTATTTCTTGCCTTTTCTTTCTTTTATCTTTTTTTTTGGTTATTGCCATATATGCAGCCATCAATGGAGGTGTTTAAAGACATGATGCATGAACTGGAGAATGGTCGAAAGAATTCAGATGGTGCAGATCAAGGTTTCCTCGTGAGCTACTTCCCGGACCTGCTTGACCGCCCCATGTTTCATCCACCAGCAAATGGCACCAAACTCAATGGCTACTACCGCCTGCCTTTGGGCTACCAGATGGATGCTTCCTACTACTGTATGTATTTGGATATTGTGATTATTCAATCATTGAGAAGTCATTATTATTCAAAAAGATAATGGGGAAATTGCTCAATTTTTTTAACCAAAAAAAGAAAATACTGCTCAAATTTTATTTTTTCAACTGATAAAAAGACAAACATGCTTAATTTGTCTCATTTAAATTTTGGAAAACACTACCAATTACTTTGATTGAGAAGAACATCCTTTTTGCTTACAAATGCCTAAAGCCTTTAAATTTTCACTTGTTTGGAAGGGACTCTGTCATGTTTCCATGTGCTCTGGTCATTGTTGTCACTATTGCAATCTTTTGGCATTTAGAGCGTAGATAGGAGTGTTTCTAGATACATATGAAGGGACTCCACCGTTGTAATCTATTTCCATTCTCAGTTTTCTAATTTTCTTTCATGGATGATTTTTTTTTTTAGGGCTTTATCCCAATACCCCCGAGAGATGAACTTTTTAACATTCTACCTATATCTTTTGATTGAATTTCAAAACACCCATCAGCAGACACATGATCATGAGTTGGAACAATTGTAAATTAATTTGGGCCTTTTTGGAACTTTGTGGCATCCCCTTCTTGGGGGAACCTGGAACTAAGGATCGATATAAAGAACTCTGTACGACTGAAGTATCTCATTCACAATTTTAAGCTCTTAAGATTGTGTGTTTTTGTCAACAACAAATGGATGGTCCAGAGTCATACTTTTAAGATGAGCTGGCATCCAACAAAGGCACGGTCTTTGGGAAGTCTGTTAATGCTATTGGAGTTGACTGCCCCATCTGTACACAATTTGCCCATACTAGATATTTTGGCAGTTCGCTATGGTCTTTAAATTGAAGAAAGCTTGATGCTTTCTTAACAAAAAAGAATTTCTATTGGCTTTATATTTCTTGTTTATATTAAGAAACTTCAATTTTTTAATTGCGAATAACAATTTTGGATTTTCTGAATCGAGTGGGATACCTGGCAATGGCATTTTATGTTTCCATTCTTTTTGGTCTTGGTTAAGAAATATCTTCTTGTCTTTTGTTCCCTTGCAGATCTGAAACTACGGTGGAGCATACCATGTGGGCCAAATAGTGTAATCACATTCCCAAGTGCACTTTGGTTAAAGCCGTGGTATTGGTGGTCATGGCCTGTACTGCCCTTGGGCCTTGCTTGGCATGAGCAACGCCGCCATACACTAGGGTAATTTCTTTCTTCTCGTTCTTGTTTGTTTCTTTCTAGAATCTTGTTTTATGGAATGGTTGACAGCCACAAGCATCTGTTTTTACTGTCCAGAAGGATATACACCTTAAAAAAATGTATCTTCTCAAGCCAATAGTGGGAATGGTTGTCAGCCACAAACATCTGTTTTTAACTGTCCAGAACGATATTCCTGAACAAAATGTATCTTTCGAAGCCAATAGTTGTTTACCTCAAGTCAGAATGAAAGAATGAAAGGCAAAATGGTTGATGGCTTTCAAATCTTGAGTTCCTCTTGATATTCATCCTATTTTTTGTCCTTAAAGTAAAGCACTCCATACATATCAAATCTTCACATCTCTTTTTTTTTCATTTTCTTTTCCCATTTTTATTCCCTTGATTTTCTTATCCCTTTCTTTATTTAGCATCTCTGTTGTGCCTCTTTTGAGTGGGTCAGTTGGGTTCAAATTAGCTAAGACCTTATAATCAATAATGAATTTGGGGAAATGAATATCTATTGCATTGCACAATGGATGACTTGCCTCATTATATGAATTATAGGTGGGTTAAAGCACCAAATAACCTTTGTCTTGCTTTTTTCTCTTAACCATATTTATGTGTTCATAAAGTACATGTATAACTGTGTACATAGATATGTATACGCATGTATATATGATAAAGGCAACATAATACTTAAGTAGAGAATGAAAGAGCAGCATAGTCCCCTAGAAAATTGATTGTCTATAGGGAAAGGGGCTGTTACATGGAGTCTTCTATATTTATAGGGAAGTCTACATTGCATAGATAACTGGCACATTATTGCTTAGTTTATTGACGAAGTCCTCTCTCATGGATGAAAGAGCCATCAAAACTGAAAGAAAGAAACATTTGCAATAGTTGAACAACTTAGCTATTGTAGGTGGTTTTTAAGCTGAGGTTACAGTAATATAACATGTGTAATTTGTCTGCAAGGATTTTCATCACCTAAAAATATTGATTTTATTGAGACTATGCTGGTTATATAGTCTCGTGAACTTGTGGCATCATGTCAGTTTTACTCGTTAAAAGTTATGACCTTTAACCAATTTGATGTCAAGATGACGTAAACATTATACTTCTTTTTTTGATTTATTTTTAAAAAAAGAAAGAAAAGAAATGGTGAACGCAGATCTGTTCTCTGAGAGATCGAATTTCTTGGGTTTATTTTCCTCCAAGATCATTGACCCTCTCTGTTTTCAAGTTTCTTGTTTGTGTGCTTATATCAAAGCTCTTCCAAAATTCAACCGATTCAGAGAGGTACTCTATGGGTTTCCCCTTGTTTCTCTTATTGAGAACCAATTCCTTCTCAAATCTCATCTTTGCTCTCGGATTTTTGAAGGTTTCTTGCGAGATTTCTCAATTTTGTTTTCACTCTCAAAATTCAAGGATTTCTCGTCAGGTATTCCCTTTTTGCCCTTCAATGTTGAAGATTTCTCTTCCGCTATTCGCCTATTCCCTTTTTGCTCTTTAGTTTTGAAGATTTCCCATCTGATATTTGTTTTCTCAGGTTTCAATTCTTTTAGGTTTCAAAGAATAAGAAGGATTTGTAATATCCACTTCATCTCAGGATTTTTATCTGTTTCTTTTGGTACATTTGTTTTCTTGATTATTGTCTTTTTCTTTCCTGCTTTCTTGTGCATTTGCGATATTGATGAGCATTTCTCTTAATTGTTGGGTTTCAGTCCATGACCTTTTTTTCTCCTTTTTGCTGCAAAATTCTTGACGAGATTTCATTTTCTTGGGTTATTTTCTTTCCTCAAAATTGCATTAAATTCCAAAATTTTATCATTTTATAAAATGGGTAATTTCGGGTTTTTTTTTTTTTTTGGGGTGAGTTAGCGGGGAGAGGGCCCTTACCCTTGGTAGGAATTGAGCCTAGGACACAGCGTTGCAAATTGTCAAGCGCTAACCAATTAATCCCGGGCTCTTTTCCTAATTTTTCGGATTTCTTGCTTTGTATTTTAAGCATGTGTGGGCCTCTTTTAGAAGTCTCATGACATTTCTCCGCCAAATGTTCCCCAATCTTTTGCATGCCCCCAAGAGGCCCTAGTATTTATCAAACTGACTCAATACCCCACACCCACTGTGTATGATTTTCCATATAATATCCAAACTTTTCGTTCCTGAATGGACGATAGATGTTAACCATGTCAGATGAATTGATTGTCGGGACTCGGGAAATGTACCATCACCATACACCATGGGTCTATGGTCTACTTCCCCGTAGTGTATGCCATATATGGTAACAGCATCCTGTTATTTTAGATAATAAATAGTTATACATGTAATTCTATGGTCTTGTATGCATGCATGTATGTGTGCGCATTTGCATGTTTGCATATATCTGTAGATAAGCACTTATATAATTATATATGGTATGTTCCACGTTATATGTTTTATATGTTTATGAAAAGGAAAATTGTTTCATGCCGGGCTGGATCGCATTTTTACAATATGCGGTCCAGAGGTATAAAGCATCCATCTTAAAGATGGATGCAAATAGGTGGTCTATCTAAAAACAAGTGTAACTAACGGTCCAAATGTTTTTTTAATATAATTATTATTTTTAGTTTTCAATTTTTTTGTCTTTTCATAGTCATGATCTCCATGTTAAAGATTATATATTCTCTATAAATTAGAATTAAATTATATTTAAAAAATATATTTATTGCCGAGCCCGCATTTCTACAATATGCGGGCTGGCCGCATAGAAACCATGTCCTTATGAAAATATGCATGTGTATTTATAGATGTGCTTTTTCTAATATATATAATGGAATTGTATACAATGAGACCGTTTACCTTTGGTATAGAAAGGTCACAGTTACTTATCATCATCCGATGTAAAATTTGATTGCTTGGCTGTGTCACAAAGTCCGAGAAAATTTCTTTTGAACTTTGAGCTTGATAAATGAAATAAATGCAGCCGTCCAATTTCACATCCAATGGTCAAGATTAATTTTAACCACCTTGTACCAAAGGTAAATGGTCTCATTATATATATATATATATATATAGAAAAATTCTTCAGGCGAAAATGAACAGTGATTTCGCCTACCATCATCACTATCCAAACTTCATTGCACGGTCACAGTTGTTCGGTAGTGTTTTAATTTTCATTTTTTCTCAACTAATTCAAATTACTTGAAATTTGGAGCGTGTGTACATCTTATTGAGGCGCACTTAATAAAAATTTTAAAAAAAAAATCGAAAAATATAAATTAACCAAAATATCCCCAAAAATTTATGGGGGTATTTTGGTCAATTTATATTTTACAAATTATTTTTTTCATATTTTTATTAGGCGCGCCTCACTAAGATGTACATTCGCTCCAAATTTCTGATCATTCCGATTGGTAAAGAAAAAATGAAAAAAGAAACACTACCGGACAACTAATG